CACATAATTGGTCAAGAGAAACCACACTCACCAGAAATCATTCCTAGTATGATGTCATCGATATTATACACACAAATTCATATTTGTTGGTGGAGGGATTGTCTCTTAGAGAAACGTAACTGTTTTTGAGTAAAGAAACATCTCACATATATTAATCTAAAGGATTCCTTTGCACCAGGTCTGACCTGTTTATGGTTCTTCAATTTAGCAAATCCAAGTGTTCTACAGGAACAGGTGAACCACATGGAGCCCATGAATGGGAGAGGTGATGGTTGTCAGTGCAGGTGTGTGCTCTGTGAAAGGCTTGAGCTGCACACAGGGTATCGGGAATGGAAAGGCTGTGAATATGGGGTAAAGGATCAACTGTAAAATTCCAAACTCTCCCTCAATTCTGCCAGTAACTGAAAGAGATCTTCAAGTAAATTATGTGAAATATAAATAGCAGAGTAAATTAGCTATCCTACAGGAGTTATATTTAGAAATTATTTCTTTCATGTTTTTCGGTATATTTACTTCACTTTTTGTGATAGGTTTTTTTCCAGAAACACATGATTCCCATGAAAACCCTAAAGTGGAAGCCATAATACACAAACGAAGAACCTGTATGAGAAATCAAATAAACATACAAAAGCAAAGCCCTCATTTAACACTACAAGGCAAAGAACCACCACACATGCCACTGAGTCAATTTTGTGTAGGCCACTTACTGCTTGCCACGGAACTATATAAGACAGTGGTCTGTTTTGACAGGGACATTCCTACGAAGAAAACTAAATTTTCATTTGCAAGTGGCTAACAGAATTTCCACATATTCAAAATGTCTTCTCCAAAATATTCTTCCAATATTCTTAGAAACATACACTCAATTATGACCAATATAGGGTCACTTGGATCCTTGTTGTCAACTTAAAAGTGCTCACTCTTTGAGTCTTGGAGGCAAATTCACAGGGAATTTTGTGAATATAGTGAGAATGGATTCATAACCAAGGGAAACCAAACCAGGATCTGAGAATCAACAGAAGAAGCTCACAGGAAGTACACACTGTCCAGATCACACAGCAGTGATCCCTTAACTCCAGATGAGCAGCTGAACTCTGAGTTAGTGCGCAGAGTTCAGAACTAGAATTATCTAATTCAACACAGGGCAGAAGACAGCATGATGAATTCTGTAATGAAAATATTTTAATTAAAATAACAACTTAATCACTTCTTAGACTTATATGCACAGCCCTCCAGAAGAGGAGAGTGGTTTGGACAACTCAAGGTGCTTACTGTGACTGAGTTGACTCCCCTTCCACGTGGTTACCTCTGATTTACTAACAGTTCGCGAGTGTAGGATCTGTCCCAACCTCAGTATGAGGGAAAAGTCCACCTGAGGTTCCTGAGCTTCCCCAGGAGCTGATACTGGTGACCACAGAGAAGCACTCTGCATTTTGTTCAAGTGGGAATATTAAATATTTGTTTTAAGAATGTTGGTTAACACAGAACCCATCACTTTCAAGGCATGATCAATTCCTAGGGTATACAATTGCCAAAAGGATCCCCCAGAAAACATGAAAATAGAGAGTGCACCCAGATAAAAAAAGGAAAAAAATAATCATTTATGTAATAACCTTGGCTTTATGTGTGCTGAGCGCCCCCTGCTGGCTTCGTAAACCTGGTAGTGTTTTTTTTTTCTGTGTGCACACTGAATAATTGTCACTGTGTCATTAGTACAGTAATACGTGGCCGTGTCCTCAGTTCTCAGGTTGTTCATTTGCAGGTAGACCATGCTTTGGGAATCATCTCTGGAGATGGTGAATCTGCCTTTCACCGAATCCACGAAACAGGTTGCGTAATTATTGGGTTTAGTTCTTATGCTTGCTACCCACTCCAGTCCCTTTTTTTGGAGCCTGGAGGACCCAGGTCATGGCAGCATCACTGAAGGTGAATCCAGAGGCTGCACAGGAGAGTTTCAAGGAATTCCCAGGCTGTGCTAAGCCTCCCCCAGTCTCCACCAGCTGTACATCACACTGGACACCTGGAAACAGAGAGGACATTTAACAAGAAACTGTCACGCGTGTCCTCTGTCTCTTCCATGCTTGTTCACTCACTCACTCAGTGTCCCTTGTCATCTACCTTTTAAAAGAGCAACAAAGAAAACCCAATGCAGCCCCAACTCCATGTTGATTGTCATGCCTTCAGCGCTTGTCACTGAATGGAAATACAGGGCAAGAGTCGTCTGCCTGACCTGCGGAGTCATGGCAGTGCTGGATTTCATGAGCAGAGGGAGGACATATTTGCTATATCATGTTCTCAGGTGTGTGTGGACCTTAGAGGCAGCAGTTAATAGTGCAAATGACTGAAGGACAAAGAAGTCGTGAGGACACTGATTTCACTAAAATATTATTCATTATTTGTTTGTAAAAAGATTCAACATCCTTAATTTATGTTTTTTCATTTTTAACATGAACTCTCCACTGCTTATCTCAGCAGATTTTGCACAGTAAGTTCATAGAAGTTTAAAAACTAAAAACTTCATTTTGATAACTCAATGCAAACTAATATTAAGATGAATGAATAGTGAAGTATACATTAAATTACAGTGTTGAAACTGGGCTTGGAGACAGCATTATGGAAAAGTTTAACATGCACAAGGTCCCAAATATTATGCTCATTAAAAATACGTATATTTAAATAGATAAATGTGTATAATATGCATATATACATATCAAATAAACATTAATAAACAAGACTATTCCTTATGAAATTCTAAAGTCATCACAAAATGCTTTTACATATATGCCACATATTTGTGTTTGGCTTGTGTTAGTAAATATCTTTGCCATTAGTGACATTAATTTTCCTAGTCTCTGCTTACCACAAAAAGTAGGGGAATCTGTTACATGGTCTGTATTGCTGTGGTTTCATGCAGTCCTGTATCTCTACTCTGCCTGGTGATATTGGAATTTCTTGGTGGCTGTGGGATATGTCTCAAGAGGCACCCCGTAATAGTCGCCCTGTGCTAGAAAGGAAAGTTGGGAAGTAATTGCTCAAATGGCTAATTAATTCTATTGTAGAAATGTTGTTACAGCTAAGAGTTCTTGTGAACAATGATTGTTCTGTGGAACGTGGAGGAAAGTGACTTCATTTAAAGCAGCTAAATGCAGTGAACTGATGATCTAAAGTCCCTTCTGCTTTGAGTGCTTTGATGACAAATCTTTTCCCGGACAGGTTTCACTCATTTAGCAGGGTGATATGAGACTCAGCAAAAGGAAGAAATTCCAGATGGATGTGGTGACCTTCCTGTTCTGTCTTTGCACCTGTTCCTTAGGAACCTGAATGGCTGAGGTGTGGTCATCGCCTGCTGGCCTGTGCTCCATATTCTTCATGATGATCTGTTATGGAAGTTGCTTCTGATCCTGGGTAAGGCTGATAATAGGATTCATCCAAGTCTAGAATGTGGATATCAGACTCTGCTGCATGGTGTTTGCTCATTTCTATGACCTTTTCACAGTTAGATGGTGTCATCTCAGTGGTCTTCTTCTCACAAGACTTGCTGGACAATACTCATGCACAGCTTCACCTTTCATGATCTAGAAATTACACTTGCAACAGATGGGGAAAATATAACTGCATGTAAAAGTAAATTTAAATGGGCTTCATCACACTTCTTAGAAACTGAATGTGTATATTAAATATCATCTTCATTCAATAACTGCAGGAAGAAGTAAATAAAAAGGAATTTTCACACTTTAATTTCAGCTAACAGAGGACTGATAAGAGCAAAGCATTAGGGAATTTTCAGTTGATGTTTCCCCAGCATGATTCAGGGTCCTAGTGCCCAGCTGTTCTATACAAAGGAACTTGTTCTCAGCCAAGACACCTGATGATCCAGGACTGTGATTTGAATCCATTGATAACAAAACTCAGGTTTCTTTATTGAACTTTTGTCTCTCATCAAAACCAAACAAAATGGAAAGTTTTCAGCTTCATAGTCCACCAGCTTTTCATTGGCTTTATTCTCTGTATTCTATTTGTTGTGGGAATTTTGTCACTGGTCCCCTAGCCAATTGTGAGATTGTTTTAGTCAAAGAGAGATGTTTTTCACTGGGGATGGACATGACCAAAAGAAAATGTCTGAGGAGTGTAGTGTGTGCCCCTTTCCAATGAGTAAGAATGACATAGGGTGTTAGTGGAGGCTTGTGATTTGCCTCAAGTACCCTTCTGTTATTTAATATGTGCGCACAGGATTTTTCATTTTAATAAAAACATGAAGAAATTTATAACATTTACTGTTTTTTTCATACAATATATTTTATCATATCACCCATCAAACTCTTGCCACATATTCCCCATGCATAAGCACTCATCTTTGTGCCCTGTGTGTGTCTCTCTGTTTCTCTATGTCTTTCTCTACCCCCTCTCCCTCCCTGCTACTTCTTATCTATTCTTGCTTGTTAACAATGGATGTTAATCCACACATACAGAATATCCTAAGGTTTTTCCCTGACTTACATGCAGTCAAGGAAGTTCTACAAGGACTGAGGACTCTCTTATCTCTAATTCCATGTAACATCTATCCCCAAATCAATAGGGATCCCTTCCCACAAACTTTCTTTGGTTGCTTTAGGCAAAGAAAATTGGAATATGAAACTGGCATTAGTTAGCTCACATTCTATTGGTTTGTCTCTTATGGGAATAATCTAATTTATAGCCCATTCATAGCTACTCCAAAATCATTTCCAGACCCTTCTATGTAAGAGCTGTAAACATCATCATGCATTGCTGCAGTTTGTCCTATATTTGCTATTTTAAAAAAGAAAAATATTCATGGATAATGTCACTGGTTAAACAGCTGATCAAGGTATGGTGAGGTCTTAGGGCAGCAGAAATCAACCTAACTTAAACCCTTCAGTCCTTTTGAAAAGTTGACAAAACCCTGTAAGTCTGGGAAGTGACAAAGGGACACTCAGTGTCATGAAATATGGGCAAATCTCCAGGTTGATGCTCATTGTCATCTAAGTCCAAGGGCAGTTTCCTCCTCTTGCAGGGTTTCTTTCACACTCAGGATGTGGTTGCAACACTGTGTGTCTTGCACAGAAATAGATGGCAGAGTCCTCAGATGTCAGACTGCTGAGCTCCATGTAGGCAGTGCTGGAGGATATGTCGCTAGCCAGCGTGGCCTTGCCCTGGAACTTCTGTGTGTATTCAGTATTACCACTTGATGTACCAATCCGTCCAATCCACTCCAGGCCCTGTCCAGGCCTTTGTTTCACCCAGCCAATATTGTAGCCAGTGAAGGTGTAGCCTGAAGCCTTGCATGACAACTTGACTGAGGAACCAGGTTTGCCAAGCTCAGGCCCAGACTGCTGCAGCTGGACATGTGATTGGACGCCTGTAGAGAAAAATACAGAGTAGGGGTCATTGTCACCTCATCCCCAGTTTCCTCTCCTGGTTTGGAACTTGGAGTCACTTACCTGTAATTACTGACACAAGGAAGAGGATGATCCAGCTCCATCCCATGGTGCGGACCTGTGTGTTCAGTAGCTGTGAAGAGGAAACTGATCATATGTTGGGGGTGCTGTGGACATCTCTGTATTTACCACCATAGTCTCAGATGATTTGATTTGAATATTCATGAGAATGGTACTTTTTAATAAGGACATGGTCCTACTGGAGAAGAAGTTAGAGGACACCTGGATCAGACAGCAGGATGCTGAGTTCCCAGTCCTAGTTCTCTCTGAGGATATGTATAGTATCCTTCTTCCCTGGGTTCTCTGCAGAGGATGAGGAAGTAACATCAGGACCGAAGTCTCAATAGATATCAGATCTGATACAGTGGCTCCACTTGGAACAAGGTTATCAGACTTATGTAAAGATGGTGGCTGAGATTATGATGACATTGATGGGAATTTAAAACCTGCTACGATGGAATTTTAAAGCCTCCTTTCTGATATCTGCAGTTAATATTTGCCTTTCCAAAAAAATATACTAAAAAACTTTCTCAAATGAACGAAATATTTGCACAGCAGTGCTTACTGCAACAATGTCAAAATAACTAAATTATGTATCTGTCAACAGAGGGTCTCATCAAGAAGACACGTTTATATAAACAACACAGCATAAAATTTTCATCTACAAGGTATTCAGAAATTATGTCAGTGATAGAAAAATGGATGCAGCTAGATAAATATGTGTTAATTAAGACCATCTCAGAAATCAGACAATAAATGAGACTCTCCTCAGTAGTTCTTAGTTATCGCATGCTTACCTACAACTATGAATAAAAATACATGATGAAGTGCAAGTGAAATCGTCTATTAGGATAAAAGTAAAGGAGGAGGGGAAAACGAGGGTAGAGATTATGGGGGAAAGAATTCTATGAAATACAAGTGTATGAAATTTCTACAACTATGTAAATTTGGTATTTTATAGTTTATATTTTTGAAATTTGATCCATGTACAAAATATGGTATGAGCATATCTATACCCATCATGCCCCACTGGTTCCTCTTGGGACTTTGCAATAAGTCTCTGTCAATCTATGTGTCCTCTCTTGTTTCCTTAACTAATAGCACTATGAATCCAATCAACTCTGTCTATATACACATAGATAGAGTCTTAAAATAGTATACCAGAAAGAAAACTGGTTCTTGAAAGAAAGTGAATCCCTTATGAGAAATCACAATTAAAGTCAAGAATTTCCATAGTCAGATGAAGTTCTTCACCGCTAAAATTGGAGTATGTCCTTAAACAACAATGAAATATTCTGGGTGTAAATGTAAACACCAGGACAGATGCAGTACGTAAAATCAAGACATCACAACGCATTGAAGGACACTCATCCTTTAAACACGAGAAAGGACCATGAGTAAGCTGATCTTCGCTGATTTACAGGGCATGGGTTATAGATGGAGGGGCCCTGCACATCACAATCTCATATATCACATTGTGATAATTCACCTGTGAAGGACACTGCAGTGGTGTAGTTGTGATGATGTCTCATTTTCTCTCTCTTAGTTGTCCTGAGTGAGAATGAGGACAGTCTAAATATAAGGTACTTTCTTCTAAACTCTTTTCCCTAGACACGAAACCACATTTTAGGCTAGGTATTAACAATATGAGTAAATATCTTATATTTTAGAAATTATGCACAGAAAAATGATACATGAAATCCTAAATTCAGCAAAGGACAGATTTTGTGATTATCCCAATTTTCTTCCTCTCTCTCCCCACTGAGGTATGGCTTCACAGGGCAGTGTATCACACCTTGGGATCAGGTCTCCCATAGCACATCTACAAGGACACAGCATTGTGGCTGAAAATTCAAGGGCTGAGATCTCAGGTCACTGTACAATATTCCAAATGAGAAAAGCCCTCCTCCAGTGGAAAGAAGTAACAGATACGGTTAGACGCTGCTGCTGGAGGATGTGATGATGATGTCTATTTGAAAACTGCTGCCTTGTTATATGGGTTCATATCTGATGACTAAAACATATATGTACAATATTACTAAACAAGGAACTTTTACTATACTAAGACTGAAGTCTTCTCACAATAGCTACTCCAAGCATTTTGTATTGTCTTTGCAGTTATTTGTGGTCAGGACAGGAAAACTTTGGGTCTCAGAGGACTCTGTCACTCTCCAGATCTTAGTGTCTCCTGCTACATATTCTTTTCTGGTGAGTTCTGCAGTGCCCTCTGCTGATCCTGAGCATCCTCAAAATGAGGTTGTTTCTGAGAACACCGGGAACCTATTGTGCTGGCTGCAATGTAATGCAGGGCTAACTTCAATGGCAGCAGATTTCAGACTTAGGGAGAACTGGTCATTGAATGTGTCCATTAACACACTGAAGAATTTCTCAATGACAGCTTTACACTTTCTGCTGAGACCTGATATTGATGACAGAGTTTGGGTTAAAAGGAGGTCTCAGAATTCTATTGGAAAAGAACAACATTTAGTTGTTTCTTTGAATTAATTAAAGTTGAAGAAAAAGAGAAATTTATTTTCAGAGGAAAATTCCAGATTGTTTCTGGGACTGAGGTATACACCAATATAGACAGAGCCATGTCAGATATGACCTTTTGTAGTTTTAATCGCTGAGCCTTGATTGCCTATGGGCTCCTGTCTAAATGCCAAAGATTAAACATAGAATCCCAGTAATGTGCTGTCTCTCATCAGAATGAAATCAGGTAACCTCATCATTGCTCAGTGGTTAACACTGGTGACAATGGCAGGGTTATTTCTCCTCATATAAGTGACAAACTGCATGGGTAATAATGTATATGTGTACTTATAAAGAAAAAAGCCACTTCTAAAACTTTGTTCCACTTTAATAGGTCAACATATAGAGGTTTGGGGTTTTTTTAAGGGAAACAGTTAGATTTGGGGGAAGTTCAAGGTCCCAAAGAAAATAAATGCTTAGACACTCTCTGCACCTGCTCTTGGGCTGATCTTCTTCCAGTCTGCTGTGAGACTACTATGGAGTGAACTCCAATGCTCTTCCTGAGCCTATAGCTCAAGCGCTGTTTGCCAGACCATGGTGTCCCTCGGTATGGACATCACAGCATATGTGGCTGTCACTTCTATCACATAAGTCAGTCTTGAGGACAACTCTTCCTCAGATGGGTTTCTAAAGGTGAGGATGAAACTGAAGAAGAATGACCTGTTTTCTGTGACTCCATAATAACCTCATTCTCCCAGGACCACAGCCCCTTTTCTGGGACAAACTCAACCCCAGTATGTATGAGAGTGTGATAGAGTAAGCAGGGCCAG